AAAAAAAAAAATAAGGTTAAAAAAAAATGCTACAAAATTCCTAAAAGTCCCTATCCCCGCCATCGAATTCAACAATATCAAAGGAAAGCTCACAAATTGTGAAAAGAGGTTGGTGTCAATTGTCGTTACATGGTTCCCATATTACTGCATCTGTTCTGCACAGAACGATTGCAACGATTTTACCTATACATTTGATTATGTTTGTATTCTCTGTTTCCCTCTTCTTCTGTTTCTCTTGAAATTGACATGTAATAACTTCCATCTCCTTCTCCGTCAACTTTCCCTCGTTTCCTAGATTTATACGCCTCCTTTTCTTCGCTCGCTGCGCCCTATATAACAAGGTGAGGTTTTCCTGCCTGCCTTCTTTTCTATATCAAACTTGTTTCTTCTCTTGCATTCCCTCTGTTTTGGCAGTTTTTGTTTCTGGGTTGTTGTGTTCTTGTCTTTTTTGTTTTTCCCAGGTTTGGTTTGATCTGTTCTATCATTTCTTATCATTTTTTAATTGTTGGGTTCGATTTTTGTTTTTATTTTATTTTATTTTATTTTTTTCACTTAAAATTTATTGATTTGATGAAAGAAAACCCAAATGGGTGATTTTTAATTTTTAGCCTTCTGATAAGGTATTCTTTCCTTTTTTATGGTTCAATGTAAAGGGACTCAAGGTGCTGTGTTAGATGACTTAGATCTGCTAACCTTCAGATGCTTTGTTAGTAAAGGCATAAATTTAGATTCTTTTTCTGTTCATCAGAGAGGAACAAATATGTTTTCTGAGCTTGTTATATCTCCATGAAGGTGTAAAATTTCATGGTGCTTATTAAATGATTAGGTTCTTAATCTAATGGTAGGATTAGGGTGTTGATTTACTGTAGCTAAAACATCCCCAATTCATGATTTTGAAGTTTCTGAAATGGCACTTGCTAGTTTTAGCTTTGTTTGTATATTTATATCTTGTTGTTCCTTCTGATAATATGTAGGCTGCAGGCATATGCATTACCTCTTGAGTTCATAATCATTTTTTGTATGTTAGTGATATCATTATTACCTTAGTATCTACTGAAATAGATTCTTATGTCATCACTTGTATATCTTGAATCTTGAATTTTCAGGATGGCCACTGCTGTATTCCACCAAACAGCTGGAACTCTTCAATCCCGCCAGTTTATCAACAATTCTGGGGTTAGTGACCTTGGAAACTTTTCAGTTAGGTTGTTTCCTAGAGGAGTCAAGGTTGACATTAGACTGTCAAAGAGAGGGAATTATGGCTCTGTAGAGAGGAAATTTGGTGTAATTCAGGCCTCTACCTCTTCAACTCCTGTATTTGATCCTGTTTCATCTCCCTCAAATGACAACACTCATGAATCTCGGAAGAAATCAAGTATGTTTACTCTCAACTGAGTTTCATGTTGTGAATAATACACCAATACACCAGTTTTGTCCTTGATTTACTTCAATCCCACACACTTTTTTGACCCTTTCCTCACTAGTTTTGTCAGGAAACACAAATCCTAAGTGGTCAAATTTCAGTTGCAGAGTTCATTTCAAATTGGCCCTGAAGAAACAACCTTTTTGTTATTTCTCTTCATGAAATCTTCTGATGTTTTTGCTGATCCTGATATTATTTTCAGATGAAGCAGCTTTGATACTCATTCGCCATGGTGAGTCTTTGTGGAATGAGAAGAACCTCTTCACAGGTTGTGTTGATGTGCCATTAACCAAAAAGGGTGTGGAAGAAGCAATTGAAGCTGGTAAGAGAATCAGCAATATACCTGTCGACCTAATATTTACATCATCACTGATTCGCGCACAGATGACAGCTATGCTTGCCATGACTCAGCACCGCCGCAGGAAGGTAATTTCAGGAAATAACATTTTTATTGAATTTTTGGTTTATGTTCCTAAATGTTGTTGCTAGTGAAACTGAAAAATTGGTAATGCTATTTTCAACTAGTAATTGTCATTGTAATTGACAAGTTAAAGAGAATTTGAACCTGAATTCACACACATGCATTTGAATCTCTTTAATATATTTACAACCCCCAACTTTTTCTAATGAGAAAAAAGATCCAAATAGTGGTAAGCCTATCTGTAATATATGTTTGTTCTAATAACCCAAGAACTGTGGAACTGCTCCAGGTGCCAATTATCATTCGCAATGAGAGTGATCAGGCAAGGACGTGGAGTCAAATATACAGTGAAGATACCATAAAGCAATCAATTCCAGTTATAGCAGCTTGGCAATTGAATGAAAGAATGTATTTGCTTTTCCTTTTGCACCTTTCATCAAAATGGATGAGAATATAATTGTTCCTGCAGCTGTTCCAATGTATATTTTTCTTTTCTCTGTTGTGCAAGACTTATGATGTTGTCTTTCTCTTTAGGTATGGGGAATTACAAGGTCTCAATAAGCAGGAAACAGCAGATAGATTTGGGAAGGAAAAGGTTCATGAATGGCGCAGGAGTTACGACATACCTCCACCCAATGGTGAGAGTCTGGAAATGTGTGCTCAAAGGGCTGTTGCCTACTTTAAACAAAATGTAAGTTTGCTGTAATATATTTAACATCTTCTGATTTTTATTACTGTTTTTTATAATCTGCCATTAATCTTTTCGAGCCCTTCCATAGTTTACCAATTCAAGTGCTTGTATATCCATTATTAGCATCTGACTACAAATGTATGACCTTGCAGATCGAACCTCAACTTCTATCCGGAAAGAATGTAATGATTGCTGCCCATGGGAATTCATTAAGGTCTATCATTATGTATCTTGACCAATTAACTTCCCAGGAGGTATGAACCAGCTGTCTTTCCTGTTTGAGATGTTAGCATGTTACCTTGTTTCTGGAGCTTGTCTATTTATGTATACAAGCTATATTAATTTTGAGTTTTTATTGGACAGGTTATCAGTTTAGAATTATCAACTGGTATACCAATGCTTTATATTTTCAAAGAGGGTAAGTTCATTAGGAGGGGAAGTCCTGTGGCCCCAACAGAGGCAGGAGTATATGCTTATACTAGGGTATGCAACTTCTGCCATCATTTTCTTGATCTGTTATGGATTCCCATCTTATTAATTTTTTAAAAGAATGAGAAAAGATAAAAAAAGGAGCTCAAAAATCAGAAACTGGCATTGGAGTTTTGGTTTGGTCAACATTTTATCCCCTGGTTTCCAGAGCATCAAGCAGAAGCTTATGCTTGTACACAAAAACGCTCTTATATGAGAATGAGACCCACTAGTTGTAGTTAAGTTATACTTCTTTACCTGCCACCTGCATTATTTAGCGCAAATTTTATTTGGAGCAAGTCATCCTACAGATGCTAAAAATCAAAGTCTTGATCTGATAAACGAAACTGATTCTGTCTAGGAATAACCTGATCTGTTCATCTTCACCTAATAAATACTATTATCTTTTCTTTTTAGTCAGTTTATTGCAGAGAATATTAGCCCTAGATAAAGGATTAACACGTTGTTAACTTGGATTTCTTTGCAGCGTTTGGCTCTTTACAGGCAGAAGTTAGATGAGATGTTGCATTGATGCCATTCAAGGGGCTTTTTTCCATTGCATTGCCACATTCAGCTCTATCCATGTTATATTTAGGTTTAAGGAGTGAAAATGCATTCGTCGAAAAGCTGGTTTGTTGTAGTTACATATCTGGACATAGTTGAAACATGAAAAGATTAGCTACGGTTCTTGTGGATTTTTTTTTTTCTTCTTTTTGAGCGAGTCCCTACCCATATCTGTATTTCAGGTTAGACCCATATGTTTGTGTGAGTCTGACCGATAGCTTGGTTCAAAATCTTGTAAGAGACAGAAATTAGAAAAAGTTTCCCCTTTTGTGGTGACGATAATGATTTCATTCTTGGGTGTTCTTGTATAGAGGAAAAATAAACCCAATGAACACTATTTTTTTCCCTTTCCCTTTGTCTTTCATTTGGATCTCTTTCCAGTGCCATCTATAAAATTTTGGCTGAACGTCCAAATTTGCCTCTAAATAGTGGGGGTTGAGAGATAAATTCATCACTCAAAAAAAGCTAAGAACAAATTGTCTTTCAAAATGGTTAATCAAAATAAATTACTTATTATTTAAGTTATCACATGTCAAGAATTTATTTGTCACCTAAACTTGTTTTTAACAAAAAAATTAATATGTGATGACTTTACAAGTTAAATGAAGAACAATTTATCTTAATGAAGAACAATTTATCTTAATGACAATTTAGAGGGAAGGGTAATGTACCCGACTTTTTTTTTTCTTTTAACTGGCAGGTCTATCTTTATCCTTCAATTTAGAGGTAGATTTGAGAGTTTCGATTAAAATTTTATTGATGGAACCATCTTTGCATTTTTCTTGAAAGGAAAAAAATGGGAATGAGGGGAGAATATTTCTTCCATGACATCAAACAAGAATGGGTGTTTGGAACAGTAATCTTTATCTTTAATGTGTGCGGGCCAGCCATTGAAATTATTAAGTTACCATTAATGAAATAATAAATGTAATAATTTTGTTAAAAGTATTTTAATATATTTATAAGCTAAACTATAATTTCAATATATAATCTGGCTTGCAGAATACCCTTTTGTGTTTATATATTCCTCAGAAAATATAGCTTATACTTCACAATTTCAGTAAACCAAGGAAAGGGGATTGAAACAAAGGGGGCAAATTTTATCCAAGACGTTCATAGTTTAAAAGAAATACAACATATGATGCCATCCATAACTCCATTCAGTTTCAAAGAAAAAATGGTACATGGGGTCTACTCCACAACAATGAGGCACCGTTGTGCATCTAGATTGCTTATTGTACAACGTGACAGCAATTCAAAATCAATCTCCAACTAAAAAGGCCAGATGGTCAGCAAGGCAACTACATTCAGACAGATTACCATAACTATGACAGGCTCCAGCTTGGCTGTTACTTTGCTCTAATGTGCTTCCTTAGTGCCATTGTCGTTATAATCAGTAACCAGGACATTATGATTGGTTGAAACAACTTCTGAGTCAACCTCGTTACCAGGTGAACTGTCTGTCTTCTCATTGTCAGATGAATCAGAATCAGAGTTCAAGTTGATAGAATCCATCGCAGGAGCACATTCTAGTGTGGGTTCTGGGGCTGCTGGTTGAGAGTTTCCTCTTGTCCAAAATGAGACCATCTTTTTGTCGTCCTCCTTCATCCTTTCTGCATATTTAGCAATGTTGAAACCTGAATTACTATTTCCTCCAAAAGCAGACTCCAAAAGATCCATGTCAAATAGATCCTCCATGGTTTTCTTGGTAATAGGATCATCAGAGTAAACAAATTTCACTTTGTCACGAGTCTTGGGCTCCAAAAATGGTTTGACCAGCTGCAGCAGAAAGTCTCCATGTAAATCAAACTTCAATTTTAAGCTGTGGTTAATGTGATAGCAGCAAATTGTTAGACTGCAAAGAACTAGAAACTAACCACCAAAGAGATTTTGTGGCAAAAAACCAAATTGAAACAAGGGAGCATACAAGGTGACCAAGGAGCTTGATGACCAGGAAGTGACTCAGTTATCTCAGTCGTATGTTGACATGAAAAACTTCTAAAAGAATGGCTAGTAGTTTTGACATGTTAAAACCAAGAATGAAGCAAAAGTAAAAGCAAATGAGTAGAAAGGGGAAGAAAGTTCTGATACACAAAATTGCTTCTCTTAATTTTTAGGTCTAAAATATTTTATGTAGATTCATACACCCAAATTACATTTTTTCTATATGCTAGTCACTTCCTTGTATGTTAAAATAATATCTGTATAGTTAGCTACATTAAGAACCACTGAGATATATCTTATGTTCATGAAGAATAATAGCTAGGATAAATATGATCAAGTGGTTACCTTCCAAAAGGGTTCAAAGAACTTGGGTGGGTTGTACAGTATTGCCAAACCTAGACGTTCTGGATACTGATCCTGTAAAATGTGAGCTGTTTCTTGTGTCACCTTCACTGATATATTTGACAGATTATAACCACTGTAATCAATCAACCAGACCATCTGTTCCTGATCTGCTGGCAGATTCAAAATTGCATTCTCCATGCAATAAACCAAATGTTGAATTTGTCCTTTTGTTGACTTGGAGTTCTGCAGACAATAAAAAGTTGAAGAAGTCATCTAGGCTATAAACCAAGCAAGGCTACTACTGAAACTTGAATATCCAAGCCATGATAAATCTATACATCTTCTTAGCTCAATATGATCCACTAATTCTTTGATTCCAATTAGTAATTAGTAAAGGATAATTGAATAGAGGAACTCCTGAACAATTTTAATTTTAATTTTTTTTTTGATCTGCCAGATTACAAGGGGTACTCAACCCACTACAAGAGAGAAAACTTTGTTACCAGAATATAGTCATTAATCCCATGTTAAATACAAAGTTCTCTTTTCAAGCAAAGTCCAAAGTGCAATCAATCAAGAGATAACCTGTATGTCCAATGCTTCTCTAGGTGATTTATGCCATAAATCTAAAGATAGATCATGGTCAATACGCTAGGACAGTATTGAACTTTTTAACCCATGGGTCAAACAATCAGAACACAATCCACCTAAGTAGACAGCATAGGCAGTTAGAAGGCTTTTGGTGAAATGATTTTGTTGATAAGTGGCTTAAGAAGAAAAATAAAAGAATGGAAAAAGAGCATATGTTGCCAGTGTATGCCACCAGAGAAATTTCTTCTATTTTTATGTAACAGCAGCTTTAAGTACACATGTACAGGTCAGGTTCTCAGGCAAACCTGACAACCAGGTCTCAGGACAAGAACCACCCTTCCATGCTTGTCAATATAATTTGTTCTGTAGATCTTGCCAGTCTCTGCTTCATGAGCAACCTCTTCCTACACCCCACACAAAAATGATGACATTGTAAAAACACCATTCCTAAGAAGTTATGGAAAATTCACATGGAGATAAGCATACCCAGCGGATCTCTTCTGGTTTGTATACTGCTCTCCACTTTAAGGATGCTTTCAGCATCTTTGTTGCCTTCTTGACATTCCAGTTGCGTGCCCTTAAATATCTTGCAATGCATGCATCATTACAAAAAATAGCCAACTTCTCAGGCGATGGTCCTATCAACCTTTTCACCTCACTAATCTGCAAAAACCCAAAAAGTCTTACACACTCAAAACCTTTAATCTCCAGTCTCCTAGGAGAATTGATGGCATAAACTAAGGGACTATCAAGTTATCAACTAGAGATACCTTGCCCTGCTTTTCTTCTGAGATTAAAGACTTTTCAAAGCCATTGGAAGAGGATTTCTTTAAATCTGCACTCATAGCTTAAAAGAAGCCCTGCTGTCTGTAAAAATTTTACACCTCAGAACTCTTGTGCTTATCAATCTCAGTGTCTCCACATATCCATTTTCTTTCTTCCAATAAATACAATCAAAGTGGAAGCATGGAACAACAAAAGCAATTTTTTTTCTTCTATTCAACAGAAATCACAGAAAATACTCCAATCTAGAGATATAAATGAGTTTGAGTTGCTTTCTTCTCCACAAAAGAAAGAATACCTTTTTGTTTAATATATTGCATTGCATTTTCTACATGGAAACAAATTTAAAATTTAAAACTTACAGAATATGGAGATCATTTTCCAGAAAATGTACAATGCAATTAAAATATTTAAAACCAAATATAGGATTAGACTGTTGTCTTATACACCATCTTTACTGTCCAACTTTTCCTTGTTAATTCTTTGATAATGACACATCATATTCTTGTTATAACATTAAAAGATGCTTTTGATGGTTGATACATACATTATGCCTAAGAGTTCATTCTAAGAATCTTTCAAAAATATAGACACCCCACACCAAATTCCAGATACGGAATGCATTTATAGGTGCTTCAAAATTCAGGAAAACCTTGTAACTCTGGTTTCAACCAGTTTTGGAGCTTAATTCAATCAATAAATAAGAAAAACAAACACAAGCGATTGCCTTTCTTTTACTTGTCAGAAAGAGCTCAACCAGGATACCATACAGTTTTCTTTCTTTTCTTTTCCAAAACATGGTATAGAATTTATACTGCTAAAACCTGATAATGTCACCAAAAATTGTCAACCTTGTATCTATATCAAGAAATCATTTTTTATTGGAAATATACTTGCCTAATCACCAATTGACTCAGTATAATTAAATCACTAAATTATTAAATAATCATAAACAACCCACAAGGCCTAAGGGGTTTCATATAGAAATATTGGGTTCAAGTTTAAGTAACTTCATCACCACTTCAGAATTTAAAGCAGATGCAAAATCACGGGTTCTTTTTTTTTTTTTTTTTTTTTTTATTATTATTATTATTATTTTCTCTTTCCAATTCTCTGCTTCTCATTTTATTGCATTTAGTAGCATGATTAGTATTTAATATCACTGCAACAATTGCTTGATCATTTGAGATTAACCATGTTTTCTCCCAAGTTAAGGAAACTATTATATAAATCTAGATTGCCAACAGAATTATCAGTATCACCAAACTTGATTCAAATCAGCATAAGCCTCTCCTTTCAGGTCTAATTTCAATTGGGATTTTAAAAAAAAAAAAAAAAAAAGGAAATTTGTACCAAAGAATTCTCCTTTTTAAGTTGAGTCCAAGAAAACGGTTTCGACCCACCAACCCCATTTCAAGAAAAAGAAAGGACATAACAACTAAACACCATCTCAGAATATCAGACATGAAGTCTCCCAACTTCACTTAAAGCGGGAACCTTAATTTCAGCAATAACTAACAATGCACACCAAGAATTAAACCAAAAGATCCCGACTTCTTATGAGAAAGAAGATCCACAAAAGAGCAACTAACCTTACGTTTTCAAAGAATATGGAGTTGGATCCTCAAAAAGCAGACACTTCTGGGGTTCCTCTTCCTCCTGTAGTAAAAATCACAGACATGTCAAACGTTAAAAGGGTATCCTTAAAAAGAGATGGCTTCGGATTATTTTAGCAAAATATTACCTGGAAGGCTTGCTGGATCTACACATACTCCTCACTGCAAGAAACCGGGAAATTTGGATGATTTTCCTGTTTTTCTTTCTTTCATTTTTTTTTTTTTCACAAATTGTTCTGATTCTATGGTTTTTTTTTAGTATGCCCCTTGCTTTAAGTTTCACGACACGTGCATATCACGGTTCCTTCACGTGGATGGCTTTAGGTAGAATGTCAGATTTGTCCTTGACAGGAACCACCCCACCTATGTCTTTTGACAAGGGCATAATTACCCTTTAATATTGGTTTTAGGTTAGAGAAACATTTTTCCAAGTCCTTGGGGATCAAGGACTTTCCTCCAAGATTTCATTAACAGTATGTTTGGAATATGAACCGATTCTTTAGATTCAATGGTTCGACTCTAAGTCTTACGTATTTGGGTAAAATGGTCGGAGCTTCGAGCTCTACCACCATCGTGAACTCTACCAAAAAGCGACCCGATGATTACGTGCCTCATTTGAGGAGGTGGAATGTTCATCTGGTCTGGGGATCGAATATCTGGTTGCTAACAACTAATTCAAATTAAATTTTTTAATAATTACCCTTGTAAAAAATATATATATATGTTCGGAATACAAGTTAAGATAGGATTTGATAAAACAAAAATAATGGCATAAGTTAAGATTGAATTGAAAAAGATAATATCAGTCTCTTCTAATATTCGATACTTCTTTAAATTGTATAAAAAAATTTTCTCATTTTATATTTAAAATTTTTTAAGATTACACATAATAGCTTTTACAAATTTTTCATATGAATAAAAATGCTCTTAAATTTAAAATATTTGAAAACTTTTATTCACTTACCCAAATTTATTAAATAAAATGTCTTTAAAAATAAAAATATATTAATTTATAAAAATAATTAATTTCTTTTAACTACCAAAGGTATTATATTTATATAGTCTATAAATTTATAAATAAGTCAAATAAATTGTACATTAAAAAATCATAAATTACAAAGAAAAAATATAAATAAGTCAAATTTTAAAAAAAATCATAAAAAAATTAAATAAAAAACTACAATCTTTGTAACTTGAAGAACAAAATGAAAAGAATATAACGTCAAATGAGAATAATAAAATTCACACTTTGAGGTCTTCAAAACAATAAATATAAAAATTTCATAAAAATAGTGCAAGTGAATTGCCAAATCCATTATTAATAGTCATTTATATATATATATTACGAATCCTTTAAAATAGTCATCATTATCTATATACCATATGATTTTTTTTCTATTAAGTCATTTACAGAGTTATATGCTTCTTCTTAATCAAACTCCCAAAATATTTGTTACTTCATGGAATCCATCTTGCTTAACTCAATTATGGTGACAAAATTTTAGGTAAAGACCTAATAAAATATTAAAAATAAAAACAAATTAGTAAAAATTTTGGTGAGCAACTCAAAGCAAAAAACATTAAAAAATTTTAAATCCATATTAAAAACAAAGGTTTTTGGGGAACCACCATCCTAATCATATAACCTTAACTTCAGGCCAAAAAACAATTTAAAATGGCATCAACTACTATAATATAGCATCCTATTAGAATTTATAACAAGACATCGATGTGAAATTGGTAGACACAATACAAGTGTAAAAATTAAAATGCAAAGTTATATGGTATTTATACAAAACCTACACATGGTATGATTCAAATCTTAAGTTAAGAAAATAACATATGTAACATAAACAAATGTCATATAAATAATGAAATGGTCAATGATTGGTTCTTGGCTCTAAAATTGTTAGCTCTAAAACATATATTTATAAATCCAATTCTTAAAATAGACTAGGAAAACTCAATGATAAGGCCACCTAAAATTAAACAAGCAAAAAAAACTATTTAACAGAATTGCAGCAACATTACAAGGAACTATGTTCTACCAAACAATAATAAAACAAAGAACTTCAAGAAAAAAGGCAAAGCAAAAAAAAAAAAAAAATTATAGATAACAATCATATGAGTTGAATGATAAATCAAGATATACCAAACCGTTATCATGAAAGAAAGGGACCTCAGAAAGAAATGTGCAAAAAAACAAAGCTAAACAAAAGGGATTTTTTCATACAACACTAATGTTATAAATAAGCATATTATGGAAGTTTTCTTGGAAGATGAAAATGAGAAACATAATATGCAAATGACAAGAAGTAACACTAGATTAACTAAACCAAAAGATGAAGAAAATCTCATCAGTTTTTTTCATCTCATTGTATTAGAACAAATCAGGAAAGAAACCAAATGGACAAATTAAACAAATAAAACCTTAAGCAAATGGTTGAGGCATTTATTCTTATCTTTAATTTGTAATTGGTTCACTCGGCAATGTCATTTTAAAACAAGAAGCAATAGATGAAAATGTTGCAGGCACAAGTTTTGACAAAATGACTCCGACTTCTACCTTCTAAAAATCCGACACATGAGATTAGGTTTACTAAAAGAGATCTTTGTTGGTAAAAAAGTAGTCAATGAGATACTAACATAAAAGAAAATGAGAATAGGTAATGGTATGCAAATCTAAAAAAGCATCGTTATTTGTCACAATTTATTATGAAATGAGCTACACATTATACTGCAAACCCAACAAACTAATCTTAAAGGCTGAAAATTGAGGTTACATTGTCATCTTAAATAATAGTGAGCGTATAGAAGCAACGTTAACTGCCAACAATCAAAGCAGTTGAATTCAATTAACAGAATTAGAAAGTAAAACATGAAATCACTTCCCTTGCATTTCTCATTTTGCTCTGTGCACAAACCTATGTTATCTTGAAATCATAACTCTTGTATAAACTTTTATAACAATACAACAACACAGAGGTAATCCAAATTTGGAGTTTTGCGTCAAATTCACCCCAAAAAAAAAAGAAAAAAGAACAAACCAAAAATGCTAAAATTCAAATCTAGCAATAACCCATCATTTTCTAGCCAACAAGAAGCTACCAAAATGTAAAACATTAGAAAAATAGAAATGAATTTGCAAAGAATATAGAAATTTTGTTCCCAAATTTAATAGCATATCAAATAATTCCAAAGATGGATAGCTAAGAAGAACCTAGGGCTCTTCCTCCTTTGTCTTTTTTTTTTTTTTTTTTTTTACAGAGTTTACGAAAACAGAATATCCAAGAACAAAGATAAAGGTTATAAGCTTACTGAAATGAGCAGCTTAAGATCGAAGAAGAAGCAATGTAGAGGAATCACAGGATTGCCGCAAGTGAGAAAAAAGCGGATAGATATGAGTTTTATAGATAATGAAGAAAATAAAAATGAAAAAGTAGATTTGAGACTTACCAAAGTATCAATGGAGTGGCATCGACTATGGCGACCGACGAGGTGAGGAGAGATGGAAGGGCAATTGTTGACTACGATGAGGGAAGGACAAAGAGCACAAGAGAGATTTTGTCTATCGGGAGAAACTTTAATCCAATCCGACTGTAACTCATGGAGGACGCGAGATAACTTTTATGCCAACAGGTTTGGATAAGACAAAACACTGAATACATTTTATCTTTTCCATGGACAGCACCTAATATGAGTTATTGACTAATTGGATTAAATTTTATTCAATCTTGTCACTAATCCGGTGCTCCAAACAAGTAGTAAGTGTCCTGTATTGGCTCTTACATTAGCAAATTTGTGCTCTTCTGTTCCAAGATAAATAATTTTAAGATAATAATAAAGTATTGTATTGCTTAAAGTGGATTATTTTAAATTGTATAATATTTATTATTAAATAATAATAAAATTAATATGAAGAAATTTTCATTATTTATTGATTTATGTTTTATAATTTGATAAATTTAAATTACAAAATAAGAAATTTTATGAATGATTAAATTCAAAATAACAATAAAGTTTTTTTTATGAACGATATAATTAGAGTAAGAGAAAAATATTTATTTTGTAGAGAAAGTACAAATTTGTGAATAAATTAATATTTAAAAAAATTAATCAAAGTTACATGGCCAACCCCACCAAAAAAGCTTCAGCGTCTGGTTGTAAGTTTCAAGTTTTTTTTTTTTAGGTAAAAAAATGGGTTAAACTTTAAATTATACTTTAATGTTATATTTATAAGATCACATATGCTTAAATAAATATATAAAATATTATAAATAAAGCTCTAATTAACAAATTATATCATATTATAAAACTTATAATATTATATGACATTATATTAATACTATTTTTTTTTTCAAGATATGAAGCTAAATATTCTAACAACAATTGCTATATTTATAATAATATATAAAACTATAAATTTACAATCTTATATAATATTAAATGAAATAAAACATAATATTAAATATATAAATACATATAATATCATAAATACACTCTTAAATAAAAAAATTATATAATGATATATTATATTATAAATTTATAATATTAAATAACACTATAATTATAGCATTTTTGACATTTCAATGTCAAGATCGGAGAAATATAGACAGCCACGTCAAAAATTTCTCAAAAAAGGAAAAAGAAAAAAGAAAAAGAGAAAACAGGCACAACGAAAGAAATTTATAATTCCACAGCTGAAGATGTATGTACACGTCTGACATGAGGAAATGCTGAAGAAGCCCTATGGTATTACAATTTCTCCTATAAATTTCGAGCTCTTAATTTTTTTTTTTTTTCTCCCTGTACATAGTTTCGAGTCCCCCAGTTCTAAACATGCCTCTTCCCCCCGCCGTTCAATCTGGAAAAGAGAATATTCAATCAAGTATCCAGAACCGTGCAGTTCAAATTAAACCAGTCAACCAAGTGCATGTGCCCTTCCAAAGATTTCACATGATATCTTTCAAATTATATGATTCTCTATTCTACATCCAACGTCCTCATCACATGTGATCCCTAAAGAATTTGCATGATTCAAGGACATATAAGGCATCTTTTAGACATTTTGCCGCACAAAATAAGGAGTCCAGCCATAGTTTGGGAGGAAAGAGCTACCACATCAAAGGCTGCACAACTGTCTGAGGTCTCTCACTCATCCCAGCAATGTCAAAAGCACAATAGCGATTCCAGTCGGGCAGAGAAGCTCCTTGGAGCCGGCACTCGATTCCTGAGTTACACGTATAGTTCAGAAAGTAAATAAAATGAAATTGCAAATTGACACTAGGATTATAATGCCATGGGTTTACAAATCTAGCAGAAAAATTTTTCTTACCTTTGAAGACTGTAAACTGGTGGATGAAGGGTATGATTTCCCATGTCTACCCAACTTGATCCACCCCTTCCAAGAAATCACAGGAATCAGTTCCGTGGACAGATTGATCTTTCTGCACAAGCAGGCAGCAGGACTTCTAGCACAAGTTAACAGCTCCCTCTTCCAAATCCATCCTCTGATCTTTCCTTAAAAACTTAATGCAATGCAAGTTCAGCACCACCTTGCTGTCATGCCATATTCAGCTGAAGAAATCAGCATCAGGAGCTAATGCTGAAGTCTTGGGCATCAAGATCAAGACACCAAAATATCCAGAAAGAGAACTTCACATTTGAGTTCCTCTGCTCTAAGATAGAGAATTTGCAGACAAATAACTAATCTCTCTTGCCCACAAATCCAGAAGAATTTTGCCTTTTTTGTATGCCGTATTGCCAGACATCTCTAGATTTATCGCCTGACTGATCAAAATCATCCAAGGAAGTCTCTATTGGCAGCTTATATGGCCGGTAATTACCATTTCTGGAAACAACTGATGTGCCTAGCTTGTCTTCATCTTCTGATGGTGTTCCTGACCTGCTCTCAGAGTGCATTTCCAATGATCTGTGTCTAGGTCCAGCTGACCTAAAGCCCCTCATATTAGAAGACATCTTACCTTGCGATGAAGAGTAAGGGGGTCCTCTTGGTGCTGAAAATTCTTTGGTGGGCAAGTCCTTGGGGAAATCTTTGGGTAGAGAATCCATGTCCTTATAACAGTTCCTAGCTTTGGCATCAGTAATCAAGGCTGCCCAATCATCAGATTGCATCAGAGCATTTGCATTGCCCATAACCTGTTAAAAGATCAAAGTTAAAATCCTAGCAAAACATAAAGGAGCAGTTGGTATGGTGAATGAGCACCAGTGCAATAGTTCATGACTGACAAAAGAGAAACAATAGAACCCATACCCAAAGTGCCCTTCTAGCACGAGTAAGAGCAACATTCATTCGCCGAATGTCAGCAACAAAGCCAACCCCATGATTTGAGGCACGTACACATGACATTATAATGACATCACGTTCCTGGCCCTGGAAAGCATCTACAGTATTTATATATATGTCCTTCCCTTCTTCAGATTTTAATACACCCTCAAATTCCCGTTGGAGGCATTTCAGTTGCAGCTTGTATGGTGTAATTATGCCAACAGTGATTTTCCCCACACCCAGAGATTTCAAAGTTTTCTGAAGATGCTCATACAAGCGAAGACAAAATGCTGCTTCGTGCAAATTTTGATAAGAAACAGAACCACCTCTCTGCGACTCCCGCCCATGGGTAATATCATAGAATAAATAAGGTTGAAGCAAAGGATCCTTGTAGTAAACCTCATCAGGTAAGCTGACAACACTTTCACTGTCAGTAAGACGTCCTTGGTAAAAATACCTTGAAGGAAAATCCCGAATTCGGGGATGCATCCTATATTGCACAGACAACAACATAGTAGGGCACCCTGCTTGCTGGAACCTTTCAAACAGACTTCTACTGTAAAGCAAGGTCCCAGCAGCCTTGCTGATAACTGTTGCGGGAAGCTGCTGGGGATCTCCAACAAGGACACATCGTGCTGCACCAAGAGAAAGGGGAGGAAGCACTGCAACTTCACTAGCTTGGGCAGCCTCATCTATAACCACCATGTCAAAACCATGAGTAAGTCGGGAGAACAGCTTTCGACCACTACTTGAAACAGTAGTAAAAACAATCTCTGCCTCGTTGGCAAAACTTGCCTCAAGATTAGCCCGGGCTTCTTCCAAATTGAAGTTACTACCAGGACGGAATTTGGCTTCTAAAATCAGAAGGCGAGACATCTCAACTAGAACCTTATCCCTGCTTTCAACCACTGCTGCTAGGTTCTGTAACAATGCATCTCGATTTTGGTCCCGAGCAATCAAAACATCAGGGTCAACACCAACTGACCCTTGAGAACGAACAGCAGCAGCTGCAACGTTAAGCTCTCTTTGAAGTCCAGATATCTGTTGAGACAACATAGCTTCACGAGCTCTTAGTGCATGCATGTGACCTAAAATTTCTTCACGACTCTTAAGCAGAAGCTGTTCAGTTCTCCGCTCAACAGAAACTGCCTGGGCAGCACGTGTCTGTGAGTCAACCCCAACCCTAGCCACATCAGGACGGTAGACTTTCATCTCACCATCAATGAATCCACGGTCAAGAACACGAGCAAGAAGCTCATCTGTTGCAGCATTAGAAGGAGCACAAACCAACATTCTGGGTTTTGGGCAGAGTTTAGGAAGAGTGCGGAAGAGATTCTGATCCATGTTTTGAAGAACTTCATCAATTGATCCCATAGCAACATTGTCAGAATTGCTCTCACTTGCTTGCTTATAGCTCTCAGGTGCTAGTTTCTTGAGCAAAGAGGTGTAGTAATGCTGATACTGGACCAGATGAATGACATTTAGCATTCCCCAAACTGTATGTGTCTTGCCTGTTCCTGGAGGTCCCTGAACAAGAGTAAAAGGCCATGGTTCTTGCCTCTTTGTCATTCCACTGCTTGTTCCAGCAGCTGTGTGCATAGCAGCCCACTGGATTGCTAGAAGCTGGGGCCCATTGAAGGTCCTATGCAAATGATCCACAAAATTCTGGGTGAAGCATTCAGGCATGGCAGGGGTCTGCTGCTCATATTTTGGGAAGTGATCTGGACTGGGCTTAAGGATTGCAGTTTGCATCTACATTAAACAAAACCTGAGTTAATTACCAGCAAGATTCATAGCTACATGAACCACAAGGTCCCAACAAATGGTTTTGTCAATACAAAAGTTAATGCCTACCTGGGAATTAAGACGAGAAAATGCATGCAAAGCCACATACTCTCGCTGAGTAGTTGCAAGTGAACCAAGTACTGTCAGATACCAAATACTTTTTGGTTGAAGTTTCCCAAGAATATGATCATCGTACTCCTTGCTGAAAAAATTAATACTTATAGGTTTATATTGAACAATGAAAAAACATAATACTTTAGAAATTTGGTCAAATTACAATAATAATCAGTGAAAAGAAATTAGAGCCTAGATTATTAAGGACATTCAAAGCAAACACATGCACGTAATATAATCATATTTTGTAAGTAACCTGTTAGAAACTGAATCATAGGAGTCCCCAACATAAAAATGAAGGATTGCCCCAAGAGGATCACGAATGTCAAGGGGAACATGACGTCTAACTGTACCAGCCACACGTCCGACGACCTCAGGCTCCTCATCTTCTTCCACTGACAAGGCATTACTCCGCTTAGATCTAACTGCTTCACACAAGTGTATGTCTTAACATATATATAAAATCATACCATATGTACAATAATAACTCCCAAGAAAATTTCCCAGTCTTATATCATACCTGATCCAGGCCTTGGGGATGACAAAACAGCAACATCACCCTCCTTAAAAGTCCATTTGCACTCATTAGCAGGTAGAACTACCACATCATACCATCCTATAACAAAAAAATATGAATTGCTGTTAAACAATCAGCGTTCTGATAGCACTTCCAGTTAGCATACAATGGAAAACTCATGCAAACTTGTATAGGCAATGTAGATAATCAAATGCCAAAATCATTATCCCAAAAAAAAAAAAAAAAAGAAGAAGAAGAAAAAAAAAGAATAATCACTATTAGATTACCTTAAGGCTACCAGGCGAGGGTCAGAGTAAAAAAAAGAGAAAATAAACTCAAAAAAAGGGCAGTATAAATAAAACAAATGGAGAAATCAGAAAGAATTTTTACCTCGTTCTCGCCTTTCAATGTTCTTTATTCGGACCATTACATGTGTATCTCTTGAAGGCAATTCAATCAACTCGTCCCAGGTGCTATACAGTTGCGCACGACATTCCTCAAATAGTAAAGGCTCAAATACTCTGACATATTCTTCTGCAGACTCAAACTGACCAGGAACACATTGAAGATCGGTCTCTTCTGAGGAATCCATGGTACCAGAGTTAATCAACACATGAGGGATCACAAACTAGAGAATAAAATAGACTATCTGTAGGTCTAGAATCCAGACTAACTATCAAAAAGAACATAAAAGCAAGCAGAGCAAAGATAAATGTGGAGACTGAACCTCGACTCTCAGAACAATCTATATTGCATAATAGTTAACTAGTAAAGGCAACTATTGCATATGGTTGTGGACTAAACTAAATTCCATCCAGAAGCTGCCAACAAGGAAAATAACCAAAACTAGCCAGTAACCTAAGAACATCAAATGATCCAAATCACATATAACCATAGAAATCTTCCACATTAGGGATGTGCCACAGCAATCAAAGATCAGCTTTTGTTTTTCCAAACATTAAAGCATGAACTTCCTTTTCCCCCATAATTCCATACTGGCAACATAAAAGTAGCAAACTGGCCAACTGACAAACTTGCATGTCAAACCTGTGATTAGCAAAAAGCTCCTCACAATTCTCACATACAAACAACCATACAATTAAAACAGAAAAAGATGAGGCAATTACACTTATAAAAGAGACACAGGTTTTGAATAAATGAACAGTGCAGGATGATTAAGAATTCAGATTTAGAAATATAAACATATATCTCATCACCTTCCATGTCCTTTGAGCGTTTCCATTCTCATAGAGTAAGAATTGGAATGACATGGAGAACTGGCATGAGAAAATAATGAGAAGATGTAAATGCAAGTGGATGGGGGAAAGAAATGAATAGAAAGATATCCAGAAAATCTTTATGTTAGCAGTTGATAGCTATCCATAGACATAAATTACCTGACTGATGCCAAAGCTTTTCATTGGTCACCTCCCGTATGAGGCGTTCCACAGATGTATCTTGATATGAATTACCGCTAGATGTTGGTTTTTTGGAAGAAGGGTGTTTTTTATTTCCTATCTTTGGATCCATAGAGCTTTGACTGACCAGAGTTGATTTTCTGTTAGAAAACTGTGAATTCTTAAGCTGCCTCAAATCCATGGGCTGCTTCCATGAACTCTGCCTCAGAATGGAGGGTTGGTGAGCCTCTGCAGAAAGATCACTATCACTATTTAGCCTCCTGGGCCTAGAAAATAATCCAGAATTAGTATCACCATTACACTCAGCTTTACGATCACAAGCCTCCACAGGATTACTTTCTTCATTACATGTCACATCAACTTGTTTCTGATCCTCAATTACCAGCTGACTTTGCTTTTCTCCAAGCCGTTCTGCAGGTTGAGAAGCAGTACGGATTTCTTTCACAGTACGAGTAATAACTGGTGTTGGAAGGTTCTGCCTTCTTGGTGTTGAAGTTTTTGTGGTGCCAGCTTGCTTGACATCTTCCAAATTTAAAAACATGGTCTTCCTGTTGCGTTTCTTTCCCAGCATTGCTTCTTTCTGTTCATCTACCTTCCTCTTTACTGGAGTATTAGCACACTTAAGTGCATGACTTGCTTCAATACCTTTAACTTCTCTTTGTTTAGGAACCAAGCTAGGTCCCTCTTGACCATCCAGAGACATGTCACCCTTACTGGAACCTTCTGAATTCCGGTTACTGCTTGCTTTCTTATCATTCATATGTTGATCCAATGTTAATGGAGCATGATTATATTCAGTAGCTTTAGCGTTCTCAGCAGCCACACCTGATGTGCTACAATCCATTACTGCAGGTATAACTTGCTCATTTGAGGCTTTACCCTGTTCCTGCAAACTACTGCTTGTAAATGCATCAGCTGAACCCTCAGCATCAGACCACTCCCCTTCTTCTCTTTCCACAGCTTGAGCTTCAGCAGAACCTGAAACTAATGAAGCTGCTGTGTCTGCTTTCATCTCCTCATTATTTGCCTTTGAAGATGATGGTGCAAAGCTAGCATTCTGATCTGCTTCCCTTTTTGGTATGACAGACACTTCTGGGCAAGGAGAAGTTTTGGACCGAACAAAAGGCTGAAAACCAGACACCGTTGATGCATGTGAGAAAGCATTTTTATTGATAATTCCTTGGGTTCCTGCTGGTGTCACAACTAAATCAGATGTGTTGGGATTTGTAGATGGAGGTGCCTTCTGTGGCTGGAAGCAAGTGACTTGATCACTCTCCCCTTCATCCTCCGTGGGGGGTTCATTGAGATCGAATAACAGCCTTCCTCGAGAGCCCATTTCATATGTAAATGCATACACACAATAGTGACTTTCCACAGAAATCTAACTGGTTCTGCTTGTGTTTTCTTTTCAGCAAAAAATGCACATGACATACCAAGCTGTACATGCAATTAAGAATGGTTAGCAAATTGATCAATCCACACAACTCTAAAAGCATGGTGACTTCTGCAAATCAAGAAAGCATAATGCAGATAAAGGTAAACAAGCAGCTTAACCTCAATTTATGAAGTAGTTGAATGTAACTCACAGCTAACTCAACAAGAGAGCAGATGCAAAAACTATTATCTTGAAATAAAACCAATGCCAAGAAGCTGATTTTACCAAGTGCATGCATTAACAGAAAAAGAGTTCCAGAACAAATGACATCAAAAGCAATGATAAACACACAGAATAATTAAAAGCTAGAAATATTGGCATTCCTAAAACAGTCCTTGGTTCAAAAGTTCAACGATAAATCACAGTATAAGACTAGCAAACAGTAAAACTAATCCTGTTTGCTATAAAAAAAAATGAATAATAATATTTCCTCCTCTGTTTTCATAAATCTGCAACTGTTATTGGTGATATCAACCAAAATTATTCAAACAATGCAATAAAAACATTGAAATTATGTGGAGGTGCAATTATATAGATAATAAAGTGCAAACAAGCCCTGTACTTAAAAAATCTAATCATAAAACTGTACAATGCCAATGCAGAACAGCTCCTAATATGCATATAAACCTCAATTAACAACACCCACTAATCCAAACTCAATCACTCCAATCAGACTATTAGCAGAAGCACCTTAGATTACAAACACAGCATAAGATCTCCCTTACTTTCTATCCAACCCAAGCAGAGACAGCAAAACCAAAACCCAATCTCTAACGAATCAAGCAAGAACCAAATCCCAATTAACACAGTTAAAGCACCCTCTACCACCACCCATTTGCCCCCGAAATCCCCCCAGATCGAAAACCCCAACACACTACTTTCCAATCACAATCTAGGGTTTCAAACAAGCAGATATCATAATCCTAAACCCGATTCCATGCCTGTTTTACAAAGTCAAATCCACCCACCAATCTCCCCACAAATCCGCCCCCCACAGATCAAAACCTCAACCATCCATTCACCAAGTTACAAGATATCATCAACACAACGCATTAATCCAAAGGTAAGAGTCTCCGATCTTCAACACAACGAAACCATATCATTCCTTAACCATTTTCCAAACCAAAAAATGCCCAATAATAAATTCAAAAAAAAAAATTAAAAATACAAAAAAATAAAATAAAATAAAATTCAAGTTAACAGAGAATTTATCTCTTTTTTTTTTTTTTTACCTCTTTCAAGCTTCTTGAATCTAGATGGAGAAAGTAGCGAGCCAGACTCAGAGGAGGGGTTCTCTATAAAGAGGGGGAGCAGAGAAGAATGGAAATATGAGGGGAAGAATGGGGTTTATATAGGGAATAACGAGCCCATCCCACCGGCCCGTTTTTTCTCCGATCACCGTTAAATATTTTCCCGTCAGCCTTTTATTAAAAAAAATATTCTTTTCAAAATTTTATTTTATCTTTCCAAGAAAGTTTCTTTAATTAACAAACCCCCTAACCCTTCCCCTATTTGCAACCTAACCCCTGGAGTGTGCGAATTGACTCAACTATCCCGAACAAACATGCCAAGTCGAGGAGTTGGAGTACGGACGAAGAGGCAATTCTGGAAATTGAGCATCACCGGATTTTATGACGAACGGTGCTCGGTTTGCGTGTATCACACTCAGAGGTAAGAATCCTGTGCTGAAAGTGAGTGCCCAACGTTTGATTTCCATTTCCTTCTGATCAGTGGTACCCATAGGGGTGACACGTTAGCAAAAACTGTGATTGAGAAGGAGTTTTTCTTCTTTTTTTTTTCGTTTTAATTCGTAATAATGTAATAAATATATTTTTTATAATTAATTTATATAAAAATAAAAAAAATTAATTTTAAATTTAATTAAGTAATTAAAATTATTCACGTAATAATAATATTAAAATAAAAATTAAATTTTATTATTTTTTATATAAATTAATTATAAAAAATTATATTTATTATATTCTTAATCTATAATTAGATAAATCATTTTTTAGTTTTGAGTTATACTATTATTTTTCATCTTTTGACTTAATTTATCCTATATTAGTCACTCAAATTTAAGAATTTTTATTTTTATTAAAATAAATTTATTTTAATATTAAATTAATTACGTCGTTTGCAAATTGTCCAGAGTTGATTTGATTTGTAGAGGAATTTCCTTTTGATGGGAGTCTGAGCTGGCAAGGGCAGAAGGAGTATTCCACCGTACGGTATCATAGGATCGGTTTACGGACTAATTCCTCTTGCTTACGTGGTGGGGGGCTTGGCCATTTCGTGGAATTTGGAGGGTTATTTATGTCATTTCGATGAGAGAGGCAAAATTCAGAAGCACAATGATACAAATCCCACGTGCAATCAAGGTGGCGAGTGAAGACCGTTCTCACTTCTCGCCCTTGCTCTTCCTACGATACGACAGCAGAGTGCTTTTCCCTTTTTGGGTATAAACACCGTACATATTTACTAACCTGCCACTCTACGGAGTGGATCATGTGTGTACGCATGCGCACCCTGAGAAACGGCGCGTGGGAGTGGAATTTGGAACCTTTGCTTTTTTTTTTTTCTATTCTCCATCAAAGGCATATATTAAAAATACATTTATTACATTTTTTATAATAAATTTATATATTTTCATTTTAAAATAATTATTATTTCTTAATTTTAAAATTAATTTTTATTTTTTTATTTTTAAGATAAATGAATATTTTTTAATTTAACTCTATCATTACCTATTTATTTTGATTAATTATCCTATTACAGAAAATTTAACTTTATCTTTTAGTTTTTTTTCCTAAAGATAATATAGGTAAATTTATAAATTGTCTCAAATTCTTAATTTGGAAAATTTTTTTAAAAATAATAGTTATTTTGAGATAAAAAAAAGTAGCAAATATAAATCTTTAATTTAATTTATTAATTAAACAATTAAAACTATTTATGTGATAATGATGTTAAAATAAATATAATTTTCTATGATTTTTCATGTAAATTAATTATGAAGAGTTTTTTCTAACTCCTGCCCAAGTTAAGAGAATTTTTTTGTCACAAATACATATAGAAAAATATAAAAACTGACATTAATTTAAATATCGGTATAAGTAGATAAATTTAATTAGATAATTAGTAAATTAAAAGTTAATTCTTATATTTTTAATGCATATTTATGATAAAAAAAGTATATTTAATATACTCTTAAAAACACAATTTAGACAAACTTTATTTTTTTTTTGGATAATTTTGCTCAAAATTCAAATTTGGAAAGAACAATTCATGTTGAGTTGTTCTTTGGTTTTTGGTAAAATTTGATATTAATATATGGGTTTTTCTAATTTGTGTACTTAGAACAAAAGTTAAATAATGTAATTAATGTACTTTTTCGTAATTAACTTACATAAAAAGAGTAAGTGTTGACTTTGAATTAATTAATTAACCAATTAAAATCATTCATGTCTCAATGGTGTTAAAATAAATATAAAATTTTATAATTTTTTATGCAAATTAATTATAAGAAGTTACATTTATTACACCCTTGATCTATACCTTAAGATAAAGATTAGACAAACCCTTAATATATTTACATAAAT